TCAGAGGATAGCCACTGGCTTCTGAGGTTGCCTTTTTGGCCTCTTTTGCTGTCCACACGGACTGTTTACCTGCATTCACACCGAAGCCTGCTCGAACGTGATTGGTCAATACTACTCGGACTACAAATGGATATCTGAAAAATCTTGTCCCGTTGCCTACAGATCCTACACGTGAATGCAGAATTTATATAGATCACACACATCAAGTGACCCACAGCAGACAAAAATAAGTGACACTCACCGACGATACAGAACTAACAAGGAACAGGTAAATAATATGAGGGTTGTGCCATCAAATAAACTGTGAAAGAGGCTGGTTTCACATTCTGTGAGTTTACACATTTGATATGAGCCAAAGGTGCTCACAGTTGTTTTCCTACAGAAATATCCCTGTAATGAAACAAATAAAAATAACAAAAAATTCATTTTTTCCATTGTGGCATTATTTTTTTTTATTTCTCTTAAGTTATACATGTTTTTACTTTATTTTTAGAGCTAGGTCTGTTGTTTGTGTGTTTGTTTGTCTCTTACTAGATTTCTCAAATATATAACATTTTGCGTCTTCATTTTGGGACTAAAGAACACTTCATTCTCTGAATAAAGGACGTCTGCAATGGCTCAATATTGCATTGAGCTGAAACTATGAACCAAAAAAATTAAACATTAATTTCCTTTGAGAGCATGCCTGAAAAATCGACAGTATGAGATCAAATTTAAATTGCAGAATTTGACAGGAAACCATGATTCAGCAGGTCAGCAAAGCTGGTACAGGGTTATGTTTTCCACTAGATGGTACTGTAGTCTCTCTATATTTCATCCGTCCTATTCCTCCAAAATGATCAGGGATGCTTATAACAGAATGTTTCCCTCGCAAATAGCTTATCTGTATAATAGAAGCTTGTTCTATAACAACTAGCTAAATCTAAAAGGGGAAAATAAGAACCACAAATGTGTAACTGTGGCAGAAAAGAAAACACCAGAGCTCGTCTTTGATTTTCAAATTAAAAGACTTGATTCCAAGAAGCTAAATCCTCCAAAAGGGGGTCAAAGGTTACAGTAAATCCGAGATGGTAGTAAGTTATGGTTATAAAGACATAAAGACATAAAATAAAGAATATTCTGCTTGTGTTGTATTTTTTTAAGACTCTTTGCATTTAAATGATTAAATATTGGACAGTTTTCCTTTTTCCATATGTCACAATATGGCAAATCTATGCAACATACAAATAGACGACATACATAACTTATTATTTAGTACTGCTTTAACACGGTTTGGTATGCAAAGGCAAAAAATATAACCTGCTATCGTCGACAGTCTGTTATGTACAGATGAACAATAGTCAACAACGGTCTGTCTGTGTTAAGTGACAATCCAAACCCCTAAAATCCATGCTATCTAGTCTATATTTAGCTTCTTCAGAGAACAGCAGTTGATGTCACCTTATTAAATCCATGCTGGTCAGAACAGATTCTGAAGGTGACTATATTTCACAATGGGGGGGGAGTATCAAAACATCCCTATGAACACAAACACCCGTGAATACAAAGTTCCCACTTTGAATGGATACAAAGTTCTCACAAATCTCTCCCTTTATAGGGATGCAAACACACTTACCAACGTAACCAATTCATCCATTGCCCATCTTTTTTGCCATATTTTGGATTTTGCCGTATTTTGGAAAATGAATGAACACACATATTGTCGATCCATATGCTCAGTGTGTTGGGAAATCTGGAGATTTGGCAAAAAATAGAAGTGTTTGGATCACACTGAGCCCAAACATGGCTAAATACACTGCTTCCACTCTTCTAGTTCCATGGTCCTCATGCACATCCACGCCATTCACAGTTTTTGGCATGGATGTGAGCCGTGTATTCAGCCATATTTTGGCACAACTGTGGGTGTTTGGAACACGGCGAGCATACAGATTGACGGTATATGGGGTTATGCTGCAGGAGAGGTTTGAGAAGTTTTGTATATGTTTTTGTTCTTCTCAGGAAATCCTGTCACTGAAATCTAATGCAAGCGTAGTAAACCAAGCTGAACACGGATTCGATTTTAGGGAGAACTGAACAACAACAAGAACAGCTATCTTTCAAGCTTACAAGTTGGTTAGTATTTGATAGCATAAAAAACACATATTGCGTTTCGTACTTATCTATTGAAACGCTTTGATTATTTACACGAATACACCTGTAATTTATATGATCAACCAAAGGACTGGCTGGTCCGTAGCAACAAATGAATCCTTTTAACATGAGTTGAGTTATAGCATCCTGTCAGAGGTGCAGAGACCGGCCTAGGGACCCGTTAATTGGTTAGTGTTGATCTTGTGATATACACAGGACAATAATATTGATTAGCAGCAAATAAATCTCATCCTGGACGTGTTCAGGTGCTGCGAAGGCTCCAGTGATCTTAAGGGACACATCAAGTGAACGATCACCATAAAGAGCTGGAGATGGATAATGCTGAGAGAGAGCTTTAAGGTAATAAAGGGCCCTGGCATGAATGAGCAAGGGACCGCAAATCTCGAGCCTCTTCCTGTTACCGGCTCTGTATAGATTTTTCATTTGTTTGAGTCGGACATATCATATGCAGGAAATACATTAGCTACTGTCACAGGAAACTTAACAACTGATGGCTTCCTAACCTCCACGGAGGCTTTAATGAACAGCAATCAATCCCATCCTGAAGCTACAGCACTCCATCAGTGTATGGTTATTTAGTCATATAATGAATATGCTTTAACTGAGAGGTGGTATTGCAAGTTAACATTTAATACAGACCTATTACTGGTATCATGCAATTATTTTTGCTTTACCAAGCGAATCAAAAGTTCTTGTACATTTTAAAAGTGAACAAAGATGTCACTTTAACAAGCCCAGCATGTACCAAATACATATTTCATGATTGTCTGTGAGTTTGAAGCACTTGTGCAGCTCAGGCATTGATATCGACTTATTGGTCTAACAGTCCAGTGCATTTACTAGGGGCCGTCCAGTAATCTCTAAACACTTCATTAGAGAGGACAAATTGCCACGCAGTTAACTACAACTGAATATAGATTGCAGAAGAAGAAATCTCTATTGGGACAGTATGAACGCCTGGATGGCGTTTTCGTGAGTCCACAATACAGCTCTACACAATACATAGACAAATCAATGTCTTTTACTTGGGATGGGAAATGTGAAGTGAATTACATCTAGTCGAATGGGTTTTTATTATGATACTAATGTAATCCACTGGGCACTCAGTCACAATTAATTAATCGGTCGTGCTCCAAACGATCCAATTTGCTGGCAAGCAGACAATCTGTTCTTCTCCTTTAAACAAGCTATTCATATGCAATATTTCCTCTTAATACTCATACTTTTTCCCAAATCTTTTGAATTTCAAAGCAACTGATACAATACAGTAGAGGAGGAATACGATCACTATCGCAGCAAACATTATTTCAACAAACCTCACAATATCCTCAGGCCAGATCACAACAATCAGCCTTACGAAACACAGTGTTGTCTCTGCACCTGCTACATGCTCAGCAGTTTAGAGTCAGAACTGACTCCTGTCCTTAGTTGTGTTTCTTTAATATTCAGAGATATGGATTTTCGAGATGCTGCAGCTCACAACATAAATAAATGAACGTGTGATTGAACTTGATAGAACTGCACTGCTCCTCTTTATACTTTGGTTTTTTTAAACATGAGGAAGTTGCTGCTCGGGGGCATCAGAGTGGCCTGAGGCAAACTAAAGAGAATAAAGACGAATGAAAGGTGGTTTGGCACTGAAAGGGCTTTGTTCTGTACGTTTGACCGCATGGCAATGCAGCATGAAATAGTTGAATCTATATTTTATTGATGGGCAAGATCCTGACACATCTTCAATTGCATTTTTGATCAATTCTGATGTTTTGTTTCTTTTGATATTAGCACAGGTGGTCTTTTTTTAAGGAGGGGGGGAGCCCACTTCCACTATGACATAAGGGGGCGAAATCCTGCAGAGGTGCCTTCAAGCAAGGCACTGTCCATTTTAGATGCATTTCATGTTGAACGGCGTGCATCTGGGAGCGAAATGTCATATAGTGTTTATAACAAGCTACTTTTGGTATAATAGGTTTTCATTGTTGCCCTCCCGTCATGGACAAAATACTGTTATATTACAAGCCTTTTTCTGTTGATTTATGTGGACAAAATGCTTTATAGCGTTACAACACATACAATCAGGACATTTTAATGTAGCTTTCAAACACAATATATACTGTAAATGTAAAACAAGTGGAACATTGATTATATTGGCACCTTAATGGTTTCTGCAGAATATCGGGACTGCAAAACTGTAATCTCCAAAAATCCTGCACCCAGTACATTCTAATTTCTTCACTCATTCTCTGTACCTGGTTTTTTTTTTGTTCAGAAAAACAAACTTTGATAGAAAAGGTTTTGTCAACAGTTATCGCAATTGATATGCTAACTGCAATTGCAGATAAAGAAGCAATATCATCTTTTGCCCAATGTCCAATTGCACTTTCTTTCAATTTGAGGGACTGAAATACTTTTAAACTTTTAAACATCCAAGAAAGACGGCTGCAGGCCACCCACTCTCTCGAATTAAAGTGCTGAAGGTTATTAATAGATTTCATACATTTGAAGAGCTGAGCTGAGAGGAAAAAGACTTAGTGAGGTACCGAGACACTTAAAAATCGCTGCAATTTAGCTATTCGACAGGAAATACACTTAATATGTGTTAGGTTCTCGTGTTATGCAGGCCTGCAGGTTACATGAATATATAATGGGCTATTATAAACGTTGATTTTCCCCAGAGTTCATAACTCGATCCAGCTTAAATGCTCTTACTGCTGTAACCTGCTCGCTGCTGGCCATCAATTCGCTTCGACCGTCATAGCGGTCTGCAAATTGAGGCTGTTAATGGGAATATTAAGGTTATTGTGCGCAGATATAGTCGCGTGACGTCACGCCCTCACCCGTTGCATCCCAAACCTCTCCGTTTGTCACCGGGAGTGGAGGACACACCGGATCCAACGGTGACGCTTTTGTCTTTCCACCTGCGAAACGGAATGGATTTTTTGTTTTTCCTCCAGCTTTCGGGGATGTATAATTTAAACACAGGCTATTGATGGGCAATCAAAGTTACACTGACACGTTTATCAAGTTGGACTGTGTTGGTTTAGTTTCCCGGTGAGTCCGTCGGACTCTGTGCGGTCGCGGCTGTAAAGTTTTGTCCTCCAATCCAGTGAAGGCTCCGGTGTCTGTGTACGGACGTAAGGGGTTGATGGGAGCAGGGCGAGGTGGAAACGCTCCGCCATCGGCGCGTCTCTCTCTCTCTCCCTCTGTGTGTCTCACTCGCGTTCAGTCGTCTAAAACTCCGGCAGGTTTGCACCGATGTGGTTTTAGCTGCTGGACTGGAGAGTTTTGGATTCTCACTTTTGGATCTACGGGATGCAGCATCATCATCATCATCATCATCATCATCATCACATGAACTCGCATTATGTACAACCCGAAGAAAAGCGGACCAGTGTGACAAGTTTATTTTAAATCACCAAAACACCTCTTTAAACCCCCCCAAAAGCGCAATGATTTTAACCGCTTTTGTCATGATATTGTCCTTTCCGGGTAAGTGACGCATTCATCTGTTAAATGATATTCGGGCTGTTGTATGTTATATTTGAAAACTGCTCGTCTTCCTTTGCGGTTCAAATTGAAACACGCAGCAAACACATGGCCAAACGTGTTAGATCTCTGATTGTTGCGGCACGATTGCAGAAAGTTTCTTTGTGTATTATTTGGCAACAAAACAATTAAGGACTCTCCAATTAAATCATGTTAATTGACTGATTATTTAGCCTCGTGTGTGTGGCGCGATGTTGACAAATTAGTTCACATCGGAAAAACCCAAATATCTCCCTCTTGACTCTCTCTCTCTATCTCTTGTAACTCCCCAGACTCGGTGTTCACCTTGAAGGGGGACGTCAGCTCGTCCTCCCGGCCCACCCGCCCAGACTGCGTAAAGGCCAGCGAGCAATGTCTGAAGGAGTACAGCTGCAGCACCAAGTACCGGACGATGAGGCAGTGCGTGGCGGGCAGGGAGAGCAACTTCAGCGCGGTCACCGGTACGGAGGCGCAGGGCGAGTGCCGCAGCGCCATCGACGCCATGAAGCAGAGCACGCTCAACAACTGCAGGTGCCGGAGAGGCATGAAGAAGGAGAAGAACTGCCTCCGGATCTTCTGGAGCATATTTCAGAGTTTACAGGGTACGCGACCTGTTCATCATCACTTGAGTGATCCGAAAGGTCACTATGAAAGAATGTATACGTGGTGGGATTATTCAGATCCTTTTACTTTGTAAAAAAAAAAAATGCCCTTAGAAGTAAAAGTCCTGCATTTAAAAATTCGATTTAAGTATTTTCTATTTCTACTAGTAGGTATAGTTTAATCTGAAATGATGCATTATTTTTACAACATAATCACACTGTAATGCTTTAGGTGTGAAATCTGAAACTGCAAATAAATATATGCATTGGAGTGAAGTACCTCACTTTTGTATTTCCCTCGAGTAGTTGAATACGGTGACTTCCACATTGACTTCATCCTCCTTCTCCTGTAAATCAGTCAAACTGCAGTAAGACACATTCCCATGTTGTACTCGTTCCCCAAAGTAACACCTATATGTGAGACAGAGATAATTGCACTTGTAACACAGTGCACCATAAGCTCAACCTTTCGCACAAGTCCTATTTAGTAATTACATGACAACACATCGTTTACAAAACAAGCAATGTCAATACTAGTAATTAACAAGGGACAAGCTATTTAGTATAATTGATGGGCTACTGTTCGAGTATCAGATAACATCCACCGATAACACCTACGTTTACACAAACGTACATACACGCCATTTCAAGCATATTGTTGACAATCCTTTTTTTTCCCCATGCAGGTAATGATTTGCTGGAGTACTCTCCATATGAACAAGTCAATAGCCGGCTCTCGGATATCTTTCGCTTGGCCCCCATCATAGCTGGTAAGTCGCTGCTTTTACGCTGCCTGACATTCCTCAGGTTTACGTATGGACACTGTGGAAAGTTAAGTCCTCGCATACACAGAGCCATTACTTCTCAGTAGTGCTTCAAACCCAGTTTAAGTCACCGGCATCGCCATTACAAATCTGTCACTGTTTGACAACCACTCATTTCTACTGCTGTGTGGTTTCAGGCTGCAGCTTTCAACGGCCATTATCCATCACAAAGGCTTTTATCTGCCACTGTGACCCGCCGTATACAAAGCACAGTAATTTAGTATATTTCACAGTTGAACTTTCAAAGCAGTGATGAGGGGTTTGCATGTTTTTCCACTGTCACAGTAATGCTGGATGTGGCGTTTATGTGCTAGTTTTCAATTCATTACCCTTTTAGAGTAAAGTCTGTGTTATTTGGGCTCCAGGAGCTTGCAGTGTGCTGGATGCCTTGATTGTAAAAAAACAAAAAACAGAAATGTTGCTTGCTGTTTGTTGCGAATCTAAAAGCCATATCCAGTATTTCCTCAAATATGAATAGAGTGCAGGTGGACTTGGGAGCATACACCTAGGCAGGGCCATATTTAGATCTCACACACACACACACATACACAGAGGAGCAATTAACTATCTGTCTGCGTTCAATGGCACTGATAGAACAAGAGCTGTGTGTGTGTGTGTGTGACAAGTGCAGCACTCTCTGGCACCCTTCAGTGTTGGGCTTTCTGGCTGGAGGAGGGCGTCTGCCGGCACTAGCCAGCTACCATTTCAGTAAAGAAAAAAAGGGTCATTCGATTTTCTCTCTCCCTCTCTCTGTCTGGCTTTCGCTGTGATTGAATCCACTTAGCGTATCAAAGTGGCTCTGCTCCACATGCGCTGACATAATGGCTAACTGTATTTTAAACAGAGAGTAAAAAATGTTTTTATCGGAATTTTGGATTTGTCTCCTGTGCTGGAGAAGAATTGCAAAAAAAGAAACTGAATTTGGGAAAGTGGTTAAGGATTCATAAGCCTTCCAGATAATGTGACTACTCGTAAATCAAAACAGCAATTATTTATTTTAGGCCAAGAGAAAAAAAGCAGCTTGGAACAATCAAGGAATGGTTTTTTTTAACCACAAACTAATTTGCATAGTGTTGTTTAGATGAGACAGCAGAATCCACTGAACAAATATAAAATGCTTTAATCTTGATGAAGATATATTTCAAAAACTGATCTGCTGCTGACGCACCTTTCCATCAAAGTCAGTGACTGACTGTGGAAGACGTGGCAGGTTAACTATCATAAGAAATCACCGATGTGTATGCAAGTTTGTGAGCAACATAAATCGAGCATAGCAGAGGTGGAGCCGGAGCTGAAGAGCCAGTTTAATGTATAGCAGTGTAAACAGCCAAAGGCTCTGAGACAAAATAAATCACTTAATGGGTTAGGTATCAGGAATCCATTTGCCATAAGTGACCTCATTCCTGTTTGCAACTAAGCCAGGCCTCAGGCCAACTGCAGTGTAAAATAATGCACATGAGAGTCCATACCACGTCCCCTGGGTCAACTACTAATATGATGCTCACTACTGAATGGCTGAAAATCAATGTTTGCTACGATATACATTTAGTCCATTTATATTCAAGATAAGTTTCAGCAAATGATGGAAACTAGATAGCTATGAAATTAGCAGACGACGACCTACAGACTTTGTTAACCCCTCCACTCATCCTGTTTTTGATTTAATTGGATTTTATTTAATAGCTTTACATGTACACATGTTTTGTTGTATTATATAAACTACATTACTAAACATAAATATCTGTCAACACAAAGTCAACAAGACGAGAAGAAGACGAGTCTACACCCTAGCATCAGTGTTAGCTAAATGCTAACCACGATAAGCTAACAATGACAATTCTATGTTACCGATGTCAAAGAGGTGTGTTCACCATGTTCTCCATCTTAATGTAGCATGCTAACATTTGCTAATGAGCACTAAACACAAAGTACAGCTGAGGCTGATGGGAATGTCATAGTTTTGCAGGTCATGAACTAAAGTACTGGACACAATCTTTTAGCTGAAGATGGCGAAAAGTCAGGAGATCACCAAAGTGATTACAAGTTATCCTGTGGAGGGACGTCTGCCATGCCAACCACGCGGTGGAGCTTTAGGAAAGGTTAGGGGAAATGTTGTCGCTGTAATTGACATTATTAACTCAAACCGAAAAGGCGTGACATCCAAGCCAATAACTGCTTGAATATAGTCTCCAGGAACTGTTGAAATTCAATGCTGCGTCATTTATAAATCGATGTACAAGTGCCTTCCAGAGATGTAACACAATGCTGCAGACCGAGGGAACGATGGGAATACAGCACTGCCCTTAACGAAAGGAAGAAAAACAAACAGCTGCTGTACAACACATCGTGTCTATGCCTTTAAAAATACTTTACTGGGGTATACTTGAGGCCATCAACAAGGAAAACTCGAATTCCACTGAGCTGAAGACAACTTCAGGTGATTCCAGACATGCAGTTTTGCAATCCCATAGCAAGAGCTACGAAAAGGACAGATTTCTGCAGGGTATATCTTGTACAATCACATTCCCAACTTAGTACTGTGAATGTAAGATACTTTTTAGAGACTCAAGGCTAACACCTGTGGTAGAACAACACATTACATCCCAAGAGGGTCTTGAGAGTTGTTGAGTTTGTGTTGAGGGTACCGCCTTACAATATTGAGGTGTAAAATACCTGAAACTCGCTTTGTTACTGTGTTTTCACAATTTTATTTGGCAATTTCATGCAAATACAAAAAATTGATTATATGACTCATCATCCAAGCGGATATTCACTCGTGGTTGATGCAGGGGAATAGCTAATCATGACTTTCAGATAAGAAAATAAAACGCTGCCGGCTGCAGGTGACACAGGATGAGGTTTTCGACCAAATATGGAATCATTTGATGGGAGCTGACCACACCCTGCACCCACACGCACAAACACGTATGTACACAAACACTTAATCATTCTTACTGTGTGCATTTTCTGCTGCATAGAGATCCTCATCTACATGCAAATCATCCTGCACACCTCCCATTCATTGACAGTGACACACACACATCCTCTCGGTGCCTCCGGCTTTTCTTACATCTCTCAGATTGATATCTGTTCATGAATATACAGGTTCGTGGTTTTAACTACAGATGCCTGAAAGTTGGAAGGAAGAAAACAAAAGAAAGAGAAAGAAAGTCCTCTAAAGTAGTATCATTTGGCAACGGCTGATGGTGAGACGGAACGTAGACAGTTTTTATTTTAATTGGCCAAGCTGAATACCAGCCCTTTGGTCGGAGTACATAACTGACATTCTGAAAAATAGAAGGCAAAAGTGGGTCTGGGCATCCACATATCTGACTCACCCACTGCATCGTCAGGTGCAACCACACCGATTTACGCTCATACTTTATGTTCTCGCCCCCGTATCCTGCAGTCATCTGAACCTTAACCTTATCTTATATCAGAATCATACTGAATATGGCAGACATGAGCAATGCAGAGGCTATTGCACTTATGTTTGAATGAATTCAGGATGAATGACTATGGAGGATTAAATGGAAGGGAAAAAAAGCGATAGCTGGTGTGGTATAAACTAAGTGAGATTTTGCTAATTACATGGGTGCACTTAATAAATGGGTCTTGGGTCTGGTCGTAAATACCGGGACACTGGCAGGGATTTAGTGACGCTGGCAGGAAGCCTGGTGGAAGGCAGGGTGCCATGAAGGAGTGGACCCTGACCACTGCTGTTTGCTTTCCATTATGGGAGATGAAGAGGGCACTAAGTGGAGGGATACGTTTAGAAGGATTAAATAAAACAGCAACAAATTCATACCATTATTTAGGGCTGCACGATTAGGGCCAAAACGACAATCAGGATTTTTTTTTCATCAATATTTATCACTATTATTCATTGATTCAGGGGAAAAAATACAACAATGCTGGTCATGTTCATTGACTGAGCTAAATGTTTTAACTGACCCTGTGTAGACGGCTTCATAGCAATCCACTTTTTAAATCGAGATCTCCATGCACACAGCTGGCATGTGAGGTTTGGTCTGATGGTCACACTAATACTCTGTATTACTATAATCTGTGTTCCATGGATATGGGAGGATTTACATGTCATACACGGATAAAAAAGGGCAATTCTAGGACCACATGTTCCTATGTTTAGAGAACAAAGAAAAAGTAGGCTTGAGCAATCCATGGCTGATTATTATCTCAAACTGCTGCACTGGAATTAAACCCGAAAGAGAAAGGAGGTTTAAGGACGAGCTCTAATGATTCTGGTGCTCTTTATTCCATGTATCCTGTGCAAAGAGATGATTATTCCATCTAAGCCGGCATCTACAAGCAAAAACAAATAAAGGGGATTGCACAATCTGATGCATGATGCGTGCTGATGTTAAACCATGCAGCCTTGTTCTGGAGTTTCTTTAGCTTCATGGCACACAACCTCATGTGGCCCACATATGTAGCATTGTTTGCTAGTGTGGTATTAGTTATAGTCGAGTCTTTATTCTTGTGTTTAATATAGTGAACGCAGCACCTCTTCCCCCCCCCCAGGACACCATAATTAAGCTCTTCTTTGAGATTCATATTTAACCCTACCTGGCTGGCGGTCCTTCAAAAAGGTCTTTTGTGTCAACCTATTAGGGGTCAAGGGTCAGGTTCCATGGGTCAATGGCAACATGGTGGCCTTGCTCAAGGGCTGCAACTGAAGACGGCACAGTGAGATTTGTTTTTCTTAAGCCTGCAGGTCTTTGAACAAGATACATTCAGACGGACATCTAGGATTGCAGTTCTTGGCATGCACTTCAAGATCAATACACCAACGACACAATAAACTAGAGTAATGTTTGGTTAAATGTATGAATTTAACTGATAAGTTGGAACAATGTTAATCACAAGTCACCATTTTTGTTGTTTTTTGTAGTTTTTTGTTTTGTCAGAGATGCTGCATGTCATAGATAACCATGTGAAGAAAGACATTAAGACAGTAACAGCATTACAGGAACAGGGAAAATTTGTTTTCTAATGATTACAGTCATAGTTAAGCAGCTCAGAACAAATCACAGTCAACAAATAATCTTCAACAGAGCCTTGTTTATATGACTCATTGCCCAGCCCTGTCTCCTAGAAATGACCTTTCATTCAACGAATCTGCACTGTGTATTATGTTTTGAGGGACAATAATTTGGACTTGGATTACGTTTGCTTTTTGACGCATTACAGATAAGTTTCAAATGAGCTACGGAAGTCTACGTACGGGAGGAAGTTGGGGGGGGTGGATGGATCAAAACCACAGGGCTTTCAACCAGGAGACAGCGGTTTGTGTCCCATGTGAACCAAGTACTTTGTTGCCTAAACATGACCAAGGAGTAGTTTTGTTTTGCCTTAACATGACCAAGTACTTTTGTTGCATTTTTGTTTTGTTTTAAATTCACAGCCATTTCAAGCCAAACCATGTTTTTTACTCAAACTAACCAAGTAGTTTTGTAGCGTTTTTAGTTAAATTTTGTTTCAATGTACAAGGTTAACAACTGAAACTGTTTTCTTGGAGACAATATGTTTCCCTCAAAATGTAATTGACAGTCCAACATGGATTGTACGCCTGAAACAGAGAAGATGTTACCCAAAAGTAGCTTATTAAATGCAAAAATGCTTTTTTTTTCTTTTGTGTGTTGCGTCTATATGGAGTCCCATTTTGCTCTTGGTTACTGTAATTGAGGCAGAACTGTCACACCTATGGCTTGAGAGCTACAAACACCCACTAAAAGATCACAGCTCACATCTCCAGGCACTTGTCAGATGTAAGTAATGGCTTTTGTAATATGTGATTAACCCTAGGTTCAAGAATGTTTTCAGATTTAATCATGACTCATGCTGTGGTGCATGAAAGAGTGCAGTGAGCTTCAATTCCACCTCAAAAGGCAGATTTACAGGAATTCATTCTTCCACATCGAGGCTGAGGGTACATTTTGTGTTACTGCGCAGAACTCAGTCGGGCAAGAAGGACTTTTTACCAACAAATAGCAAAAATTACATGAGATGTTGGCCATAGAGTGTTTTGGCTGGGCTGTGATGGAAGGACTGGCATACTGTGATGGGACTGGAAGCAAATATGGGTGACTTGGTTTCTGTAACTCAAAGTACGGAAAATGCAGTGTCTGAGCAGGTGTTTGTATTTTCACGGTGCACATTTCGGTGTTTTCTGTCAGGCTGCGGATCACAAAATCACCTTCAAATGACAAGCATAAGACGATGTGATGAGGAAAACAGCAACAGTCACACAAACACACACTGGAATATTCTAATATGAGCGGTATGGTCTAACTATGGTTTTCTGTTGCACACATAAGGTTTGATCATAAATACCAGACTTAGTGAAGTCACAGAGGGGGATCTGATAACAACCTGAAGTACACAATTTAGCCAGAGAATTTAAGTTCAAACATGCCACGAAGCAACTGCAACAAATGGAGCAACTGGAGCAACAAATTGGAGCAATAATTCATAATTAAACCTCTGTAAAAGATGTTCACTCATATATTGTTGCGTTTGAAAATATGTCTGCGTTCTACGAGGCTCACAGCTCTCATACAGTTGAGCTTTTTCATTTTTAAAGAGGATTACAGTAATGTTTGGGGACATTGCGTAAATATTTGTTCTGGCTATGACTTTGGGATGAATAGCAACTTCCTATTATTTGGATTATAATTCATGTCAATAATGACAAAATGTATTGTATTTTATCTACATCAGGGTGTATTTTCCAATGCACCTAAGACACACTTAGAGACTTCCTTAGGACTATTTCTGCCATTTAATTAAACTGCCGGGGACAAAGTAAAGAGGTAAGGGTATTACATAGTGACAAATGATGGTGGAAATGAGGAGTGTAACATCTTTTTAAGAAATTGCTGGGCAAAAAATGATTTCCTCATGATGCCTTTCTTTCTTTTCACTTAAATTGACTCAAATATCTGTCTTCATTTTTGTCCATCTCTTGCCCGCACTGTGTCTTCTAATCTGATTCACTCGAGACTACCTTCATTTTGAAGAACTGGTCATTTACAATGTAACCTGTGCAAGAAAGTAATATCTCTTATACCAGGGAAATATAAAATGATGTATCTCTCTTCTTTCTAAGTTGAGCCGGCATCTACAAAGGAGAACAACTGTCTGAATGCTGCCAAGGCCTGTAACCTGAATGACACGTGTAAGAAATACCGCTCAGCATACATCAACCCCTGCACTAGCAGGGTGTCTGCTTCTGAGGCCTGCAACAAGCGCAAATGCCACAAGGCCCTCCGACAGTTCTTCGACAAGGTAATTAAGCATGTTAATTCTGAGAGCTGCTCTTTGTGTGTTTGAATCAACATCTAAACCAGGTGTCAAATGTCGAAGGAAAAAATGCTATTTTTGGACTTTGAGTCCAATCTCTCGGTAAAAGTCTGTTACTTATCATAACGCTTAACTCTACTGAAAGCTACTGTTAACGTTGGGAGGCAGCAAGAGTGGATCTGAATCCATGACCTCATTCAAACAAGCCATTCAAATGTGTTTTGGGTGATCTGATTGCAGTCGGATAGTGCTTGACCACATAAAAGTACAGTTGTAAGTGCACAGCAAAACGTCCTCCGGAGGTGGTCTGGGGCACATTGTGACCCCGTTGAACACAAGTACAAATAGAATTGCGTTTTTAATGCACTTACAACAACTACGTGGGCGGAAATACGTAGTGCAAGCCCTCCTCTCAGCCCTTTCAGAGAGGGTTCTCAATCAGATCTCACACATGTAGTTTTCAAGTGTAACTGTAATCATATCTAGATACAATCTGGATACGAGACACATTTTAATGCCAGGTGGAAAGCGGGTCTCTGTTCACATTTTGTCACTATTTAACTACAAGGTATCTTTATTTTTTAAAATTTTCTTTCCAAAATAAAGGTTCCGACTAAATACAGCTATGGGATGCTGTTCTGCTCCTGTCCAGCGGGGGATCAGACAGCATGTGCAGAGCGCCGACGACAAACAATCGTGCCCGTCTGCTCCTACGATGACAAAGACAAGCCTAACTGTCTGTCTCTTCAGAACACATGCAAGACCAACTACATCTGCAGGTAGGGAAGGCAAAGAGGGATCCTCAATAGACTTCATCTGTTTTTCCAAATATGTAGTCCAATGTTCTGAACCATTGCTTATAAATGTGACCAAGCACTTATCCTCGTATAGTAATAATAACAGCATCAGGAAATAAGCATCTATAATTTGGACCTCTGTTGTTTTTAGGTCAAGGCTGGCAGACTTCATCAGCAACTGTCAGCCAGAAGCTCACTCCATATCAGGCTGTCTGAGGGAGAGCTACGCTGACTGTCTGCTGTCTTACTCAGGTCTTATTGGTAAGTTCTCTGAGGCATTTTAAAATGCTGGATAGAATGTAAAGCTGTATTGGTAACTGGACCTAAAGTTGGACTACTAATGGTATTTCTTAAGATTTGTTGTTGCTCTACAATCTGTGAAACCTAGTCAGATGAACTTGCTGAAAGGCACTTTTTTCAAATCATATACTGCACGTTATTTGTTCTCAGTCAATCGTTTGGTTATCAAACTTGTTTCTATTATTTACTCTTTCTTATCAGAATGATTAGAAGTGAGGTATACAGCTTTAATCAGATTAAAGGATTATGGCCCTCTTCACAGATTAGGTTTGGATAATTTGTCCCCACAGCTCCACTTGTTAAAGAATGAATACACGTCTGTTAATGTCGACATTTTGTCTAATTATAAGAGAAAGTATGTCATGAATCTGAAAACTTAAACCATTAACACTTGACAACACAGACTACACATACTATGGTGTTATATTATAGACTGCAATGTTACACAGGCACTACTTCTTTGTAGGCTATGCTAACCTGCTAGTTGTGTGCATTTACACTAGTGGTGCAACAGATCATAAAACGCACGGTTCGGATCGTATCACGGATCAGAGTCACGGCTAGGATCAAAGATCGGATCAGCACAAAAGAAGAAAGGGAGCGAATGTAACTTTTAGAGATCCCTGATCACGTTTTTTGCCGCAAATGCTAATTGATGATCATTGATGATCAATATTGGCAGATATAGATCCCTTTGTTGTTTGATTATACAGCTGGTCTACAAGGCTTTTTTTGCCACCGTCCCAAAAAATAATTTCAACGCTCGGAAATCCGTGTAAACCATCAAAAATCCTAAATGTTATCTTTTACTTTGTTATAGTCATCTATAGTGATTTTTTCTTCATAAAAACACACAATTCAAATGATTAGGAAATAAAAGATTGTATTTTTATTGATTAAAACTAATTTAGCATTAACATTATTAGTTTTAATGAGGTATGTAAAGCTGCTTAGAGCTAGTGTAAACAGATCATAATTCATCTTTAATATCCATTTATGTTGTTGTGAAAACATCTCTTTCAAACAACTGGATTTATCATGATAACATCATGATAACGTTATAATTTGCCCAAGTCTCGTTTTTCAGGGATTGGTTGTTTACAATGTAACATCATCAGAGATTGGCGACTAGAAAAGCATAAATGCAGATGTCCTGAACTCATATTTTACTAAATATTGACGGATGACAGTCGTCAGTAAAACTTTATTTCACACTGTGATGGTTAACATCAAATTGTGTAATTAATCCGCGGTTCACATGCGCGCCGAACCGCGAGGGGAGGAATCCGTACGGATCACGGATCGACAGTGGTCCGTTACACCACTAAGTTACACGGTTAATTATAGCACTTTGCAGAAGTAGAGCTTATTTCCTTTTGTTCAGTCTTTCTTCCATCTGCAGGTTCCATTATGTAAAAAGGAAACATGTTGAGTTTTAGTAATGAGATTTGAACGCGGGGCCTCTGTGACCAATTGCAAACTCAACAGGCAGACATTCTAATCTCTACCATTCATATTGTACTTCACACAGGTAACACCCTCTAAAGTGGCCCCCTGCCTTCACCACAAACCTCGGTCTCTGCACAAAGAAATGTGCATGTACTTGCACAGCGAATAAGTATAAGCCTAATCAATCACGTGATTGCTATGAAAAAAAGGCAACAGATGCCACGATAGCCTATTTAAACTTAAACGGTTAAAGCCTTTGTAAAATGGAATTATATTTATGCATCATAACACAGCTCCACAATGAGGTACACTGCAAGTTCTGCAAAAAGAAATGTTTAAGTAAAGGCACTCTATAATACTGAATAAGCTCACTCTCATTGGCTGATCTAAACGTTCAAATTGAAGTGGGAAACCAAAAGAGTCCTGAGACGAATGTTACAGTAACTAACAATAGTTCTCTTTTATGCTGCAGGTACGGTGATGACACCGAATTACGAGCGATCGCTCGGCATCAGTCTGTCGCCGTGGTGCGACTGCGGCAGCAGCGGGAACAGCAAGCCAGACTGTGAACGATTTGCAGAGTTTTTCACCAGCAACCGATGCCTACGTGAGTTCCAGTACTGCAGAGATTATAATTTCCCCTTCCAAAATTGCACTATTCTTCACAGCATGAGGCCAAATTGACCTTTTGAAATTATAGACTGGGAGATAATGGCTGCAAGCTGTAATAGTACAGTATGTGACGGTCTATCATGTGTTCTCCTTTCATAGACAATTTGCTTTGACTGTGTACAGGCAACAATATCTTGAGCATTTTCTTTTGTATTTCTACTCATATGCGAATGCCCTTTCCACATTCAAGTTTTAACAGTATAACAGAGCAATTATAATTGAATGGCAATGTCCTAAATAACTCCTGACCATTCATTTTTTACTATGATTCAGACTAGATATTACAAAAAGGAGTTTTCGGCCACATTTTTTTTTTTTTTTGCTCAGGGAAAGGTATCTTCGATTAAATGTCAAATTAATGATGAAAAAAATGGACATTACATCAGTAAAGTTTTCTAATTTCAGGCGGTTATTGAGTTCCTTTTTGCAAATCACAGCTATTATAGGCAGACACTGCTTTTAAAAAATGCTCTTGAGAAAGGTCAAGTAATTTAGTTTCCTACACAATTATCCAAAGTATCAATTATAAGCAGCTTTTAGTTGGGCATGAGCGAAATGTCTTGGGCCATGCCACTTGCACTTATTTCCCCGGCAACGACAAAAGACATCTGCTATCTTGTTAGATGTGCAGACTCTATTATTAATCAGAGGCTCAGAGGGCACGCTGCAGGATAATGCTTATGACATGTAGTTAGAAACATTCTACAATTGAATCGAAGTAATGACATTGAATGCATATTTTCTCATAAATCCGTACACATTTTTCACTTTACATACCATTTAATTATATGTAAAATATCGTTTTTTTGTAAAAGGATCAAAAATATCACAAATTAATACGCTATATTCTTGCAGGAAATGCTATCCAGGCATTTGGCAATGGTACTGATGTCGGAGTGTGGCAGCCTCAACCCCCAATTCAGCCCACCTTACCAGAGGCCAGCATCACGCGGAGGGGCAAAGACCGAACCAGCAACGGACTGGATGCACTCACGGACACGACCAAACTGGATCTAGATGAAGACTCTTTATATCACATCTGTGGGACCTTACAGGTGACGTTTTTTAAAGTACAGAGTTTGAAAGAGGAGTTGCAGTGTTAGATTACAGGAGGTATCTTTCTTGCTGACTTACAAAACTGATGTTTATTTTTGAAATATAAACGTAGAGAAAGAAGCGAAGGCAAAATCACTTTTGCATCATTTTTGACGCACAAACTAATCTAAAGAAACAAGCGACAATATGATAACAGTATCTCGTCCACTCGGCAGTGCATTTTATTTGACTGCATAGTTTCTACACGCTGACAAGACGACAATATAAACTTTGCAGTGTTAGAATCAAATCCGGTAGCTTCTTTATTTAGAGATTTCTAACTGCCAGCCAGCTTATACCGCCACTTATCTCATTAACAAAGTCTTTCTAAGGAATTCCTATCTGAAAGAAAAGGGTACCGCTACATTGCAAGGTCATTACTTTCAATACTATAATACTTTCAATTATCATAATATCTAGCCTACTTATCTTAATCTTAGTTTGCAGTGAGTGGATGTGCCTCTGCTCTACGTTTAAGGGACAATAAAAGAAGAAACATGAAATCCCTCCACACCACAACAAATGTTTTGATTAACTTCCAGGCTTTTTATCCCGGTAGATGTTGAAGGCTTCAAAACCTCTGAGAAAAAAAAAAAAGCCTGAATCTAAATTGAGAGCTAAATATCAGGTGGAGATCTTTTCAGAGCTTCTGTCGGAGTTTTAGACGTCTGGCTCTGTCACCTTGATGGATCAGCGATGCTTTTCTGATGGCATGCACAGAATCCCCCCCTCCTGGGCAGAAAGATGAGACGTCGGTGTGGAGTCAGAGCTTCCAAAGCTGTCATGTCAAAGCTAATTGGTTGCCACAGTAACATCACAAATGGCCCACAGGTGTAGTGTGTCTGCTTCTGTGTGTGTGTGTGTATGCGTGCACACAGGGACACAGTATCCTGCTGAGGATATACCACATTTTTGACTGTCAGTTTATGTTTACAGAAATTCCTGTTAGCTTTGTCACAACAATAGCTGCTCATGGTTAAATAATAAAGCATAATGACTAGTTAACTGACTTGCTCTGACAGCGTCTCAAGAACAATTCAAGCTTCACGAATCACAAGAAAGTTCATTTTTGACCTTGTTAACCACTAAATTCTACTTAGTAGCTGCACTGGAGTTTCTGGAAATGGTAATTACTTTTGTAATACCAACTGCAATTGTAGAAAAATCACTTCAATGACATTTTACATAATAAATTGCATGTTTTTTGCTTCAAAGTGCTTTTAGGTACTCCAGCTCCGTTGAAAGTGTTTGGCTTCAGCAACACATTTCAGACCTGTGCTATTCTCTTCTGATAAATACTCCGGGGCTATAAATGAGATGATATCACACATACTTTAAGGGGAGACAATCTATCATTTTGGCTTTTAATAGCGATAATATGATTTATCACCGGTAGAAGCATCCTCCAGGAGGAAAGACCTCCTGTAGAGCAATTAATCACTCTTCTCCAGAATCCTGGTTCATAGAATTCTTTCTACTTAAAAACCAATGCGTTGAGTGTTTATTATGTTCCTAAACCACCACAGAGTCACTTTATCATTCTCTGTGCTCCATCTCTGTATCTGTGAGTGTGTGTTTGTTTGTGTGTGTGTGTGTGTGCAAATGCATTTGGGTATTTTTCTTCTTTTTTCATATGTGGCTGAAGAGGTTTGGAGGAGTCTGAGAAAAGTTTTAAAGTTATTAAACTGTCATAACCTTGAGCTGGCACAAACAGGGGATCTAACACGGACACACTTTTCACACAAACACGCACACGTCTATGCTCGAGGCGGACGATTATACAAAGAGAGGTCCATGTAGGTCTGAACTGTGGGAATTGGTGGGCGCTGAAAGCATTATCATAAATCTCATTGTTGTGTGTTTTGCTGCATAACTGTGGCAGAGGGAGTTTGACTCGATGCCGTAATGGTTTTGCTAGACCTTGTTTTACTTTGAAGACAATGCCCTTCCTTTAGCCACAGTTCACCTTCCAGACAAAAACTATTTCTTCATTCAGCTACTGGAAATAATGTCTGCTCAGCGGTGTATTTCGGAGCATATTTGAACCAACATCTGTGATCTTGAAATACAGGCAAACAGGATCAAATATGGTAGCCATATAACCGCCACGCCCTGGGTTCGCTTCTCTCTCTCTTCCCATTTCCAGTGTCATCTGTATAATAAAGAAAAAACATGCCAAAAAAGAATGAAAATCAATGTTTCTCTGCCTTCTCTTCCTTTGTATCTTCCTTCTAGGCCCAAAAGCTGGTGTCAAATCTGACAGTGGATAATGCTCAATGTGTGGTAAGAATTGTTTTACTCTGTCGGTTCCATTCGAGGTTCCCATTAGGGCCCCAACAATAGATTTGTGAGGTCGATGAAGATGTTGATATTTGAATACGGGTCCCTTAAATTTGGTTATTAATGAATGAATATTAAGCACTGAGCTCAACATTTTACGGTCGAAAGAAGAAAAGCTTTTAAATGCGAATGAATGCACACTTTTAAGGCATTATGTTTCTAAATTGCTAAATTCTAAATTGAAGTTCTGCTGGTATATAAAATATTATTTCTGACCTGATTTCGGAGGCCATCTGTTTCACCAAATTTGCTTTGATTGTAGGTAAACAAGCTAAACATTCACGATAAAACCCACAGAATTTATTTTTATTTTATTTCATCAAAAGAAATTGTGATCTTTCCACTCCATGTAACACTAAAGCTGTGGTCTTTTCCCTCAGAACCATCAACTGGATGAGTCTAGCAGCTCAAATGCCAACGCTAGAAGCCCAGCAGCTGGACTCCCCCGCTTACACCCCTCAAGCGTGCTCCTCTCACTCGCCTTTGCTTTAACGCCAATGCTACGACGGCCTGAAGGTTTCCAGCTGTTGTAGGAGCCGAGGACTACGGATCAACACTTTTCTCTCTCTCAAGAAGTGATCCAACTCATTTTTGATTTCGACATTTGCCAAAGTGTGACACTGACGCCTTTTTTTTTCTTCTTCAAAACGGAAATAATCAACACAGCCCGGTGAGAGCGCTGACGTCAGACGACAGTGGATTATCGCCGAGCGGTCCGTTTTAAATGTTGCTGAACACAGACCTGCTGAAGCCGTTGCTGAGATATCCGCTCATTTGCCTTCCACCATTACATGCTGAGGGAACACTCACTTCTTTTGTGGAGTTCAACTCTGTGATCTGATAAGCATGTGAATAAAATTCACCTCTTTGGAATGTGTTGCAATCGGAGCACATTTGACTGAATGTGCTGAACAGTGTTTTTGGGGGGGAAGGAGTGGGTCATTTCTGTATTACCTGTGCTTGGGTTTGTCCAGCCAATAAACCTGCTTCAGTTCAACAAAAAGAAAAACTAAGTGTTGTATAAAAGTGCTGATCTATAATACGTCACAAGGGACCACTAACACATCTCATAGACACACTGAATGGAATAATAACTATTGAACTGATTTAAGATGCCATCACATCAGCCAGAAGAAAAGTAACAATTTCTCTTCTACATGTTCGGTACTAGGTAGAGATCAGTTTTGTAGATTTATTTGATTGTTATGGTTGTTTGTGGTTTTAATCACATCGCCTCTAAAAGAACATTTTGTAGATATGATACATAAAGTGAACACTCTATAACAGTATGCTGCCGTTAGCTTGTAACATATTGTCTGTGATGTGTTTTGGGAGTCTTTGTTAGGACCTGTCAGCGTTATCCAGTGTAACTGATTTATAAAATGTGACAGGATATGGTTCTTTAATCGTGTGGTTAAAGATATGACTGTTGTGTGGTTATATTTTGTTGTATGATTGCAAAGTGCATAATGTTATCTTAAACAGTACTTTTGTTAAGAACAAACCGTCAATGTGTAACAGCAACAAGAACATAAAGACTTTACATAAAGGGGTCTTTAATGGCAAAAACGAATTTATGTTATCTTTCTGTTCTACTGAGAGTGGAAATGTTGTGATGGTTTGATTGATTTTTTTTTTTGTTAGAGAGATGAATATAAAATGTACATATTCACAAGTAGAACCAATGCCAAAAGACAAAACACTGCTAGCAATTACTACGGAGACAAAGGACGAGATGAAAACACTTGCATAGTTATTATAAACTTAATGACACACTAATTATCAAAGATATTCAAAGAATGTACAACATAAAGACAATGAACACTGAAAACGTGTCTTTAAACATCGTTGCTATTTCTAAAAATGTGTGAAATGTGCAAATGTGTCTGTAAAACCACTTCCAGATATTGTCCCTGCAGACATCTTAATGATGAGATTTGGGGTTCTTTTTTAAAGGTTTTGGTCAAATAATATGACATCAGCTTTTGTCTAATTTGACCGAAAGACATTAACAGGATAAACTTGAAGACATCTCATACAGGAGGCCACTTTTATGTACAAATAGCCACGAACAACATTTAAAAATATGTTATCTGTTCAGTGTTTCCCAAACAGCTGAAATAAAAATGGTGAACAGTGACTCATGCTGGTTTCTGAAATCAACAGAAAAAGGGATACATCTTGTTTTTGGCTCATATCACTCCCTCTCCCCGATGCTAGTTCGTCTGTATTTTTAGCAACCAGGAGGGACACATTTGTAAAGCAGGATTATGAGATAGCGGCAGGCAGACAGGCCGCCATTGTCAGTCAGATCACATCGGTCCCAGTGCGGAGCGACACAGGCGGACAAGGACACAGCCTGTAGAGGACAGACTGCTCAGTGGACAGGAGGGGGGGGGGACATGTCTCGCCAAGAATATGGCACACCTGTTTGGACACAGTGATGGAGCACTTGACCTAGAGAGAGAGAGAGCCGAAGATTTATTCGATGTGTCAGAGAATCGAAAGGGCCAAAACACCGTCCTCGTGTTATACATGAGATGGAAAGGACACTGATAGAAAAAGGGATGTGTCGGGATTGGAGCTTCAGGAAATGTGGTTATAACAACATCAGATTTTAAAAAATGACGAACACCAACAATATATAGCTGATTGCTCTGTGACGTACAGCTTTAAATCGCTGTCTAAGAAATATATAAAAAAACCACACCATAACTGACATGTTCCTTCGACTGACACATCAAATGTGTATTGTTCCGCGGCTGAAAATAGGCCCCAGAAAATGCGCTTTACTCCTCTGTGACAAATATTTGATGAACCTACAGATCCCAAAACCACCACACAGAAAACATGGTTTCAGAAGTGTTACACTCCTATCAGCAGCCTTATTTAGAAGGGCATCAACAACTTGACACTAATTAAGCACAGTGGTCTTACAAGTTTTTTGCAACAGCCAAGACTCAAAAACAGGTTCTAGTGGCACAGTATTCAGACCAATAACTCATGTATCCATTGACCAGGTATGTTAAACCACGAGCACGTTGTCTGCTTTACACCGAGTTTTAAATTCTAAAAGACGCGTTTTGCCCAATAACTACACACGGTGATTACACACATCACTCAAAACTAAAAGCCTGTGCCTGTGTTGTTGCTTCACACTGCCATTGAAACATCACACTCAACTATGAATCGCTCGCCCCCAGAATACACATTGGACAACACCTGCATCCAATTAGATAACTTAGAAATCAGAGCTCGAACACTATAAATAGGATTCAGGTTTGCTTTTTGGTGTGAACACTAATGGACACCACTTTTAGAGAGTTACTGTAATTGCAATACTGTTTGTTGTTTACATTACAACACAGTACCTATGTTCATGTTATCTCCAGTTAGTATTTGAGTATTTGATACTCAACTATTTGAGTATACTCTTATGAGTATATGAGTATTGAAAATAAACAAATGTGTTGGTTTCTCCACTGCATTTGTGTTCATAGAGTATTTACAGCATGCTACAAATGAAAATGTGAAGGACTCCAGATAATAGTGCTTTATACTCATATGGCATTAGTGTGCAGTTGGCATTTGGAAAGAACTATTTATTCGGTGCTGGTGTGTAGAGTTGTAATGCAAAAACACCATTTTTTAAACGTATATAGTTTTGAATGATGTGTTTGCTTATACAAGAGATGTAAGGTATTTGGTATTTTGTGTATATGTTTTAGGTTTTTGTGTGCGGAGTTCCAACTAAGACAGCCCTAGTTTCAGAAATGGTGATTTAGAATTCAATAATATTAATAATAACAAAAACATAAAAGTAATTGTGAAAATGTCTATCTTGTTTTGGTTTCTGGAAATGGATATGAGAAAGAAACAACCACAGCACAACACAAATGACCAAACTCTTCTTTTAGATCTCGTACTATTACATTCAGAGATGAGGCCGACATTAAAATTGAACTACTGAGGTTTTTAGAATGCAACGCACGCCGTGGTTGACTGAAGCCTCGAGACAAGAATAGTTGTCATTAAACCTCTGATAAATATTATTGCTCGCCAGGTTTACTGTTCCCCTGCCATAAAGCCCCGAGGACTGGGAGATAGTGTTTAGAGACTCCCCCTCCCACAACCGTAAAACCACTGCGGGTCTTCTACTCAATCCAAATGTTCACCCAATGGCGTAGATTTAAAAAAAAAAAAAAAAGTACTGATAAAAGGGTTTAATCATGGCAGCACTGCCTCATAGGGATCACATCTAGTTACTGCAACTTTGACCTCTCCAGCAACATTGTTTCAGCACCACGAAACCACTCTGTGGATTTCACCTTTTCCATTAACCAGGGGAGCAGCACCAACTTCACTTTATTACTTTCTCTTTTTGTTTGTGTTGCGTCCAAATGTCAAGGTGTGCCTGACTTTTCGCAGTAAACACAATAGCATCAGCTATTTTGAGACGCTTCCCCTCTCATCTTTTCCAGAGCAGAGCAAAGATAAGAGATCATAATGCTCCGTTGGTTGCACACTGAAGCAAAAACTATAAGCTCTACTTGACTGAAAAAGATGGAAAGGACTGATAACTTTTGCTTAAATTACTTGATAGAGAAAGAAAATAGACGAGAGTAACTGTGACAGAGCTGGAGATGACCTTTTTAATGTGGGCTGGAGAGAGACAGGTTGACCCCTTGACCTGCAAGAGGATTTGATCACACTTACTTTAAGAAATGCGAAATGGAATTTGTGGCCGGTAAACAGTGGGCTACACAGCAACTAACGATTACAGTCCAAGATAACATCTTCAAATGTCTTGTTTTGTCTGACCAACAGTCTAAAACCCAACGACATCCAGTTAAAACGATATAAAACAGTCAAAAAGTAACAAATCCTCACATCCGTTGCATGAACGGCAACGGAATTTCAGTTGAAGACGTTCCCCGTTCATCATGAGGTTGTGTGAGATAAATATAAACTATAGAGACTTTGTGACGCAGTAAACTGATCTGACATTGTTGCATACGGTAGAAGTTGTACCACTATTTGCCCAAAAAAACGATCTGGAAACACAGTAAGGTAGTTAACTGTTCAGGTTATAAATTAAAATGGGAATTTAAAGTAGGCCCACTAATTTCCTTCTATTATATGTGCTAACTCAGCCATGAATGATGAAGGTTTGGTTCAAGATGCTTAGAAATGTCAGCTAAAGTTATATAACTAAAATAACCCACTGTAGTTCTTACTGACGCTGTAAAATATGAGTCTCTCCTTCCAACCAGTAGCTGACCTCCTACCTGAGTGTTTACTACGGCAGCGTCTTTCTGGTTTAGTCACAATTGGCTGCGTTTGAGCTTACACCCACTTCATCAAACTAATCAGCCTTAATACTGCATAATGCCATATTAAGAAATCTCCTACTCCAAATGTGTTCCGTCAAGTACAACAATATGTTTAGATAATATTTTGCTAAATGGTTCCCCACTACAGTTATACAGGAGTGACAGTGCAGGCGGTATTGCTTATAGCAGTCACACCTGAGACCTTGACACAGTGGCTATGTCCTTCATGGGAGGGGGGTGGGCACATGCCCACTAATCATGGGCTAATCATTACGCAAACGTTATACCTTAAAATGACTCGAGTAAACCTTGTGTTTTCAATCTGGTATCGGCAAGCAGACACCTCACATAGCACAGGTTTATAATGTAAAACAATATTTACAGAATTGACATTCGGCCACTAGGCTCTGATGTCGTCGCTTCCTCACAAGCATGCAACAAGCTAACTGTAGGCTACTGTTTACTGAATGCAATATATAAATAAAAAAACAGATATGCAGCAGATTTTATTAACTCAAACATATTCAACGAAATTTTTTTTTGGAAATGTTATGTTGCGTTGATAAGCTGCAGATGACCGTCAGTACACCAATAAAAACTTAAGGTTTGGCAAACTTGGCAAAGTGTGCAGCAGCAAGGTCATCATAGAAAGAAGCAGCTCAGCACTTTAGATGCAATTATGATATGAAAAACAGTAAAGCACGCTGTCACGTGAACCTATGAAGTGTGTAGAGAAACTGTGGAGATAACAACGTGTGTTGTGATACAATAGCCATGTTTAGTTTGCCATTAAGCCAACACTACAAATAAAATAGTTATGTGTGCGGACTCTGTGCGAGACAACAAACTATTTTGCATCCATGAAGCCAATATACAATATCTCCCATTCTGTGATACACATCTGTAAGCAACACACCCGACAAAACAACAGGACAACAGCAAAGGGGGATATTCTGCAATTCATAAACAACACTCACATCCTGAAGTTAAGCCTTAACTTCAGGATGTATTAACGTCAGTGTGCTGTACATGTAATGGGGAGGGTAAAATAACTAATATCTGTGAGGTAGTGTGTATCATTTATTGTGGATCCAGTTAAGGCCTGGTCAGTTTGATCTACACTGTGCTCTCCAGCCTGATTACATTGGATGGTTTGGCCGATCCGTCTTCTGACGCACCGCCCAATGAATAATATTGCTGGAAGTGACATATTAATCCCCATCTCTTGGTAATACTGGAGACGAACCAAGACAAAGAGGAATACAAATCCATACTCTTCCATCATAAGTGAATCAGGGAACTCAAGGGCCTTCATTTCTGCATTGACGCATGTTTCACCCGTTCACCTGATAAAGTCAGTGCGACCTGCAGATGTATTTATGTAGTGCCATCTGGTGGTTGAATTAAGTGCACCGTGACAATTTACGCAAAAAAGACAAAGTCAAGGTCTCCTCTACTTTGTCCAATTTATGTCAGGAACATTTTGTAATGCTATCAGGGCAACAACAGAGGGAACTGAATTAGGTCCTATTTATAAGGAGGAAGGGACACACATTGACATTGATACACAGGGATTTGACTTTGTCACAGGAAGAGAAAAAACAAAGATGAGTGAGAGTGTTTTGGTTGAGCAACTTTTCGCGGAGATCAAGTCGAGTATCAGAAATCAGAATTTAGATTTTCAGCGTTGAATGATGTGACTGTGTGATTCATTCATGAGCAATATGACCATCGGGGTTAGAGCAGACTGGACATCAGTTTGCCAACAGTGACTCAGGCTCCGCACAGCAGTCCCTCTGAATATTTTCAGCACATCCCTCTCCAGCACTTAGCAGTGACCTCTGTTCACTCAACTGTCATTTTGAAAAATAACAGACAGTCACACTTCACAATGGTGTCAAAAGCCTTCAGATTTGAGTGGCTTCCTGGATCTTTTTCAGACATGGGGGCAAATTAGCTCGTCCTGGCTTTCACATGAAACTATTAGCAGTGTAAACAATATTATATGCCTAATATATTCACAAGGACCTGCTCAATAAGTATGTATATGTGCATTTACAAGCAAACAACTTAAAACAAACCTTGTCAATGTCTACAATGCACAAATATAGATACGATTTATTCGATATCTGTAAAGACAACTGTCATCGGCTCTTCTTGTTTTGATTTTACAACTACTGACAGTTTGCTTTAGTGTCTCTCATATAAGTAGAGTATATGGGTTTCATATGCACGGCATGAATCCTCAGCCATGTTCTGAAGCTTTTGTATCCATTTAAATGCATTTATAATTTGGGATTCATGTCTCTCTCCTGATTTCTTTTAGTGCAATCCCTTCCGCTTCTTTTCTATGTAGCTATCCATTTTGTTTGTTCGGTGTTCCATTCATTCATAATGTGAATACATTGGCTGCTGCAAAAAAAAAAATGGCAAAAGTGGCACTAATGCACCTATTTTGAAGACGCGTCTATTGTCGGTGTCACTAAAACAGCAGGGGGAGGATTCATAGGAGCACTCGGCAAGGAGGACTGGCAGACACGCGCGCCACAAAATTGCAAAGCACAATGAAGCCCCAAGACCACCCGATGTGCACAAAGAGCACGTAGAGTCTCTTTAAAGAGATAAACTGAGGGGAGGAGCTAAGGTCAAAAATATCTCTTTTCAGAATGTATGCGTGGCACTTAAGAGTTAGAAGCAACCCGTTTTATTGGCCATGCAGGACGCAAACTCACAAAAAAAAAAATCTGCAAAATGAACAGAAAATCTTCATAAAGCTCACATACAGTGCATTATACACCCACTAATTCATATACACAGTAGCACTAAATGGGTTTATCTTCTCAGGTTTCTTGCCATCAATATATCCACCCTCCTCTAAGGTTCTATGGCAGCTTTCTCTCCAACAGCCCCTTCAGCTAGTCAGTGTACTGTTGGGTATAAACGAGGATTTATCCAGAGCAGCTCTTTGGCAGGCTGCATCCCTTCTCCTTTACATCCTTGTTAATGCACAGCCCTGATGCTGAAGAGGGAACACAAGCACTCTGAGAGGTGTTGGGCATATCGAAGGACAAACCTCCACAATATCAGGCACATTTTTTAAAAGAGGCAAGTGCGGCATGCTTTTATTGTCACGTTTAGTCCGAGGTGCACCTTGCAGTTGAAATTAAAATAAATGGATAATGCTATTTAATTTGTTTGCTGGTTCTGACTGTATGTCTGCTGAATATTAAAAAGGCAAAAGTAACGTGTGACTGTGGACCTATAACCTGTTACAATACAGATTTGATGAGAAATCTCTTAAGAGGGTTCATTGATGTTTTTAGATTGCTTTATTCCATTTGAATTTAGATTTGTTTTCTTTTTTCTTTGCAACCTTCTCTATCAGTCGCTCGTGTTCACTACCTTACAGAGGCACCAAACACACCAAAATTCAGCTCTGGGTTTTAGTTTCTCTCTCAAGACACTTTCAAGTGGAACAATTATCTTTAGCAGAGGCAATCAACCAGTGTTGAGCACCGGGCACCAGCACGCAATTACAAATTGTAGGTTCTTTAGAGGTAAAGACACCAGACAGCGTAGAATTCAATGCCTGTAATAGAAGTACTGTATGTGAAAGGACTCAGGTGCACAAAAGGTTTTCAGGTCTTTTTTTTATATATTTTTTTTTTATTATCTGGCATGTCGTCCACCTTTTAAAATACACTGAAGATTACTGATATGCAGTTTATCATCTTTTTTTTCACGGTACAGTGAGACCCCGATTCCTGTGTAATGACACTGTTATAGGATTACTCTACAAACACTAAATAAAAACACAAATTAGCTGGCATACTATCCATATGAAATGCATCATAACGACCACTTTGCAACGAAAAAAGCAAGACAATGTCCATATAGACCTTACAGATGCACAATTCAAAAAGGAACCAGACATCCATACAAGTGATTTAAGTCAACAATAGAATCAAGTTAAATGCTATTACACAGGAATCTGTTAAATATCAAAACAAAAAAAATATGAACAGAAATGCTCTTTTCACAAGTGTAACAAAAGACTTACAGTTTATCAGATACATAACAGTAACAGGTGACAAGGCCTAAAATAAATGGTAATCTCTTGCCATTCAGTCATAAAACACACATGAAGAGGACTCACATTTGTTCCAACAAGACACTGTACAGCTCGGGGGGGGGGGGGGAAAAAAGGTGTAAACCTTTTAAAATTCTGCAGATCAACGCGTCCCCTTCTTCCATGGAAAGCCAAGGCATTATTTAAAAAAAAAAAAAAAAAAGGTAACGCAACTCCTTGTACGCAAAGATGGAAACAAAGTGATCGTGTCAGAGGGCTCTTGGGGAAAAAAACAAACAAAAAAAAACACAAACGTACAAAACAAACTAGGAAACAGCCAGAGGAGCATGATGTCCCTGGTTTAGTTTTATTAAGCAAACGTCTTTCTCCGAAATGTCCTCCACCCACCACACCACTCCAAGAAACAAGTTCAAAAACCTAAATGTCCAAGTTGCACAGCAAAATGACCCAATAACAAACAGTAAAGAATCAACCAGAACTGAGATGTTTCTCGACTAGTTTTAGAAACTAGTCTGGATTTTCGTTACAAATGAAACTTCCAGGTTGCTAATAAAACGCTTCTGTGTTTTCTTGCGCTTTGGAGTTTCCCATGCTTCCCGTTTGATGACTTAATAGTTTGTTCGTTGCATTCTTCACCCACATGCCGCTGGTAATGCGATCGCAGTAAGTCTCTGCAGCATTTGTATACGTATTCCACAGAAAATACAGACTTTAGCTTCAGCTGGGAAAGATGATACATATGTACAGTAAATGCTAAAACAGATAATTTAAATGGGGATTGGCAAAATACTCACGTTGTCAAAAGACATGGGGTGTTACAAAAGAGTGCTGGCCTAGCGCATAGCTTTACCCACTACAAGGCAGAATGATTTCAGTCCATCAGCAAAGGCTTCGCATAACAACTAGATGCTTTAAGGACCATAGAAAACCACTTGTTGGCAAGCAAAAACAAAAACCCATAAGCAGCATGTGCTGGATATCTACCAGCCATTTTATTTTATTTTTTTAAATCATCTTGTATTTCCAACACGGTGCGAGGGAAATCAGTTAAACTTTGACATGACCTAATGCACAGACACCTTTGCTTTGCCCTCATGCCGCGCAGATGGACGATGGCGTGTCACAAAATGTTCACTGCTGAAGCTTCGATAGGTGCAGACCGTCCTCGTTAATCTGTCTCTGATGGCACGTGTCAGGCAGGTTTCCCTCCGAGCGCAGACAAGTTTTGCCATGATGAATACCCGAGCTGAAGGGAGGAGAGATTTGGGGGCCCAGTGTGTGGAGGAAAAGTTGTTCCAGAGGTCGGATGATTTATTCATGTGACCAGAAGTTGATTTATGTGGATTAGAGCAAAGGGGGCGGGGAAAGGTACGCAGGGTTGTGCTCTTGTGGACTCGGCAAGTTTCAGTGAACGCTTTGAGTGGCAGCAGCCAAATGTAGTCCTCTACATGTAGCCATGTCTTAGTCTCTGGAGAGGCCTCCAACTGGGACCTGCTGCCTATTGGAACAATATGGCCTCAGATAGTATTTATTAAAAAAAAAAAAAAAAAAAAAGGGACCCAAATGGATTGACGGGTTGAGACTCAGACGCAGGTGCCTTGGTGTGCCGGAAAAAGGGCTTTTCGGTTCTTTAAACCCTGGCACTTTTCCTTAAAATCTGATGGTTTCTGCTGTGAAATATCTATCAGCGCACTGGCAACGACGATTCCTAAAGAGGGAAAAGAGCAAGAAAAAGGTGAGGGTGATGGGGGACAAATATTCAGATATTACAGGTGTGTCTATAATACTCCAAACACCCAATCTGATGAGAATATTCTGCAGCTTCCAAGAGCAACGTTTATTTCTTGCTGTTGGGATTTGACCCACGTTTTCAGTAGTAACATCAGGAATAAGAGTATGGTTGCTTTATTTATTGGTGATGCAAATATGTGGTTGTGGAGAGGCATTTGCTGTATCTGATATATATTTAGAGTATTTCTGATGGTGCACAGGATGGCTGTTTGTGATGTTTGAAATTATATATTTTTGAGTCCCGCTGTGTCCTGCTCACTCAAAATATATAGACATTAAGACAATATATATGAACTAAAAAGATGACGTGTGTGTGTTACCTGACTGTCCTGGTGGAGGCAAGTCTGAGAGGCCGGAGGGCAGACGCATGAGGACCGTCAACACGGCGGCTTTACCTCCTGAACACGGCTCCATCGCAACAGGTTTAGGAGCACCCTGAAAAGAGAGAAACAAAGAAAACAGATTTCAAACACAATTTCAGGACGAATAAGAAAGAAATGAACTCTCCAAAAACAGAAACGTGTTCACTGGTTTATTTTGGATTTTACAGTAAAAAACTGACAACACCAATAGCAGTACTTTGTGATGAGGTGTGAGAGACAGTATGCATGACAGGACTTCATTGACTTGATTGGTAGAAGATCCCAGGATCTCTTTACCAACCAAGCAGACCAACACTCTCTGATATTAGCTGCTGGAGTTGCTGCTTTTAAGACGAGACACCCTCCTCCTGAGACAAATGGTTTGATTGGTCACACAACAAACACAATCGTGTGTGTGTGTGTGTGTGTCCCTGTCAGACGGTCCACGTGTTGAGGCGATGACCTACCCACTCAGTTAATGGCCAAAACCGCTTGTCTCAAGCGTGAAAAACATGTCATCCTGATAATGAATGTTAGGGGTTTCACAGCATGTTTTGGATGGAGGGATAGAAATTGGGGAATAATAACATGTCTGAATATAATTTCCCTTTTTCTACGTGTCCAGCTGGATTATGTGATGAGTCAGCAGAGGCAGAAAAACAGGGATGCAAATGCGCATGCATTAAAAACAAGAAGGAATCAGCAGTGGGGCTGCGCTCATTTGTATCAACATGTTTAATACAAAAACACTTAATCTAGTTTGTGTATTTTGAATGAACACCGACTCTAAAAGCAGTGATCAACTGACTACAAACAGCATGTTTAGTATAATTGATACGGTCAGAAGTTACATGCAGATTTGGAGTCCTTTAATGAAAAGTAGGTGCCATGTTGTTTCCTGTGAAGCATTGAGTGTAATCTCCCATTCAACCAATGAAGTCTGCTTCTTAGTCACCGTTTATATTGAAAGCGTTCACAAGTAGTTTAACATGACGAACCTCGTGATACAGACGCTACGAATGAACATTTCTCAGCAGAGAACATTTCGCACAAATACTTGTCAAATGTCTTTAAAAAAAAACAACTTCTTAAAAGATCAACGGACATCTACGTACGACTGAAAGAAGCTACGGACTGTTGATTCTGAGATGTATTGGTTTTGACCTTCATCAAAATTAATCATTTGCTGAGGTTATGAATGCTGTCGAGATTTTCCATTTGCCTGTACTACTGATCACCTGGAACTAATGCGGAGGGACAGAGAGATGAGGTGAACGAAGAGCAGGACAAAGGTGAACCAAAGTACCAAAAGAAAGCACATTAGACGCGACAGACACAAACTCTAATTGTTAATCAGCCGCTAAACGGCGGGAAGGAGCGCCCAACGTTTATCACATGAGGCCCGACATCAAACATCTAGTATTCTCAATCTTTTCAGGTATATTCATGAACAAGAGGCCCACCGTGGATCTATCGTTGACATACAAGGGCAATTAAATTGCCAGCCTATTTCACGAGCATTCGAGTGATCCCGCTAATGAATAGCCGCAGAAGCCACATTCGTGCAAGGGAGCGAGTTTAGATTAAAGCAGATTCCACTGCACAAGCTCTATTTGCACGGACCGCTGGGTGAAACATCATTACAGCTGTTCCAAACACATTAACACGGAAGAGAGATGTTGGCCTGTAAGACAGAAGCTACAGCAGCGCCGCATAGCACGTGTGGAAATACCGTCTCAATATTTACATGAATTATTGAAAGGTCCTTATGAAATACTTACACAACATTGAGGTACTTTGTGAAGATGTCAAAAAATGCATTTTGTTTTGAACTTATTTTTAAGATAAAACCAACTTTTACTATCTTACGATGGTTTTTCAATAAATATAGGGTGGATTACCTTGAAACATACGATATGAAAATGCTTTCATGTTCATTATATTGTTGCCATCTCTAGTTCTACAGCACCAGATCTTTGCTTACACCCGTTACCCTGAACATGCCCACTGACTGGTTCTATGAGGAGCAAGAATAAAGGCTCCACATCAGTGGATAAAGCCATGAACTCTGTAAATACTCACTTCTTACTACCCAAAGCTATTACTGTAGTCTCTGCTCTGCATCATGGGTATAACCTCTAAATGAGCTTTGTTTACATTAAAGGACCCTTTGCTTACTCATCCGGTCTCCACTGCCACCGTTTGAACCTTTGACTGCCCTTCATGACGGGGAAAGGAAACCGTTATCTATGCTTTTCATCGTCATTTTACGAGTTTCTGCTCTACCGCTGAATCTGAACTCACCCTTTAAAAACATCGAAGCCACACAATAACTAGGGCTGTACCGGAATCTGAATTGTTTTTTGCCGTGTCAACACCATTCATATCTATACAACCAATGTGTGTACGATTCTTCAAAGTCCTTTATAGATCTAGCCTCTAGATGCCCGACTTCAAGACGGATCATTCGACTCAAGTTAAGCTAATATTGATTTTTTAGGTGTCTAAAATATGTTGTTATAATGCCTCTGTCTTTCAATTAGGTGACTAAATGATGACTACTCTATGGAGCGTCCAATTCAGCAATACATTGTTTGTTGTGCAATTTCTTTGAACTACACCGAACTACATAAGTACCACGACGTCATTGATGTGATTTTGATTTGATTCCATTGTCGTTTGTGTGAAAGGCAGCAAAAAATAGCACCTTCTTTCTTCTGGCTCACTCTCATTTCATCTGTGAAATCCTTCCATCAATCTGGGATAACAGAAATATTCATAAAATGCAGAGGAAAATAAAAAAATAAATGATTTCATTCCATTTTTAATCAGAGGCATTTTGAACCGCTGTCTCCATGATCATATCTTGCAAAGGAGGTTTACACATCCTGCATTTCTACGATGCATTACCCAAGCTTCATAATCATCCAAGCACATAAACACACACACACACACACACACACACACTATGTGCGTTCCTTTCCTCCGCTGACAGGTGTCATCCATCACACTAGATGGCCGTTAGTGGTTCCATATGTTGAATGCTGGCCATAGTGAGACATCTGTGACATCGAGACCGAGGCCGCGCAGTTTTTTTTTGTGCCTCGATTGGCTTTCTGTTCCGAAAGAAAACAGCTGCTGACATCTTAATCACAAAAAGCAATGACCATCTCTTGGGGGTTTAAACCGACTAAAGATGGAGGAAACGGGCACGAAGGTTGCTTCTCTCAGACCAGCTGGAGGGTCTGAGTGACAGAGAGCTGATAATAATGAATGCAGTGAGACCAGTGCCGACTTGGTCTTACATGTGTTGGAATGGGTGTGAAGGGTCATTGTGGTGCTGTAAGTCCCTCCGCGTCTTGTTCCCTGTGCAAGCTGCATCATCTATTAGTTCGGTTATTGTCTTCTAAAAAAAACCGGCTCTTAACTTTGTCCCTGAAATAGAAAAAAATGTGTCTTGTCGGCACTAACTCAGTGAGTGAGTGGGTCTGAGTCTGAAGTACAAACAGAGCTGGTAAAACAAATAGGAAGCCAGCGTGACATCAGTGTCCTCTTTGACATCAACAATAGCTAAGTGGTGCCAGATGCTGACCAATTTATTTGTATAAAACATAATTAGGCTCGTTTCATATGGTTCACCCTCAGCTGGAGCCAAGGTAAGTGGTGGAGCTGTATATGGTCCGACATATGCATTCGCACATTTGAAACTATGTCGATTTCTTCTTATGGGATGAGTCCAAAAGAATGACTCTGTGCTTTCATATACATCAGTTATAGACAACAGCTGGAAACTTAAAATGGGATAAAATCATTAATCTGGTCGGCAAAATACCGCAATTGCTGCACCAACTGCACGACCTCTGAAAACACATTTTTCAACAGAGAAATGTGTGTTTTGCTTTTGCTTCCCTGCAAGGTATGCTTTATGACCTTTCAGAGAGTACATAAGATATGTGTTTTATTTGGCGACTGCACGGCTGGAATTAACACCTTGCCCACGGTAACGCTGGCGTCACACGACGTTGAATAAGATACTGGAAAATGTAAATGATTAACCAACAACCCTTAATTAAGAGCTGCTTGACGAATTAGATGTGTGCTGGATTCACCATTAACACTGCCACTCTAAGATGTGTTTTTAAAATACATTTAGGCAATGCACTGGGTAGGACAGTTTCTACTCTTATTTCTAAGGTGCTACTGAAAAGCATTCAGCGTACAAACAAAACAAAACTTTTGCGGTAACTTCCTAAAACAAAAGCTGTATACGGACCTCTAAGTGAGATTGAAAGTCGAGCATTCATAGGTTCATCCTGCATCTTGAAAGAGTCGAGAAGCAGAAGACTGAAGATTGTTTTATCCAATTATCATTTCCAAAACAGCTTGGGATATTGTTCACGGCAAAAACTCTCCAGCGGATGCAACGTCTGTGCCTTAATGCGCTCCAGAACGAGAACACTGCGTTGGGTGGTTTTGTTTTTTTTTGGTGGAGAAAAAGGAAGGAACACGACAGGAATAAATTATTAAAACGACAGATTAACAAACACGTTCCAAGTATGTAATTAACATTTTAGCTAAATCTAAGGTAATAGCAGTGGTCTCTAAAACCATTCAGACCGAGACTGTACCTCGATGCTTTAGAGGTACAACTCAAAAAAGTGCACTCGGAGAGCTGAGAAGCATTGTTTTTCTCCGCTTCTGCTCTTTACATTGCCCTTCACAACACCATAATGCATGCCGAGTACCACTCAGCATCATGCATTAATAGCTAATGTAGGGCCCCTCTCCTGGTTGCCACAGTGATTTTATTTCCCTCAGCAGGCAGGTGACACAGAGGTGGCTCTGGCTGAGGAAACACTGTTGGTCCTTCGATGTTAATTTGAGGATGTAGCTCCCCCATATTGTCCTAAGCTAGGCTTTTATCCCATGTGTCACCGACTGGGATTCTTCTCCATTTTCAGTTTGTATGGGAGGCATTCACATCGGAGGAATAATGAGGTTATGTAGCAACTGTGCCAAACATTTTGAATGTGCAAAAGCACGCGAGCACGCGGGGTAGAAAGAAGAATTCATACAAATTTGAGTGCAAAATTAACTATACGGCATGTTTCCAGGAGGACAAATCAGGCTAAATTAAAACATGCACAATAACAAAATGTTCCACAAACCATTCTGACGTCATCGTTTTAAAATCTTTTCAAAGTAATGACCAGCTTTTCTTTGCAAGAGGATTAAAACAACCATGAAATCTTTTTTTTTTTATATATAAAACTTTAGAAAAATTGATATAAATCTTTTTTTTTTTTTTTTTAAATTGGCATTATGACATCACTTCACATAAAAGATTTATAACATTGATTGGAAAATGTCAGCGCGTCTGTAGCCGCGATAGCAGAACACAGTTCATATAAAGAAGAGGGACACTGGGAGAAAGGACCATCGCTGGCAGATTTCTTATTGATGTGGAGAGTGGATAAAAGGCTGACATATTGCGAGTGGTTGAGTACAACACAATAAGGTGCAATTATGTGGCACCACAAAACTATTGTATGCATGTCAGGAGAAGCATTAACAAATCGGAGGACAAAGAGGACAAAGACAGGGGGACAAACATTGTGGCGCTTGTCAAGACTACAGCTAGTTTCAGGTGAAGACGTGTGATGGTGGAATTTGTAAAGAAGACATTACAATAAAATCAGAATGAAAGAAATCAACATACTGAAGTTTCACTGTTGGTATGAAAGAGTCCAGCAAGGAGGTGTGTGTGTGTGTGTGTGTGTGTGTGTGTGTGTGTGTGTGTGTGTGTGTGTGTGTGTGCGCAAGCAAGACTCACGTCAACCACAGGCTGCAGCAGTTCTGTTTCTTCTCCTCTGGTGTCCAGCGCAACCGCAACCGAGGCAAACGGACGACTGGCCATCTGCTGGCGCTCTCTCATCAGTTGCTGTAAAATCAAACAACAGATAGGTGTTGAAAAGAGTGAGAAATAGGACTTACTGAAATGTTAATACATGAATACGTAACAGTATATACATTATCACTTATAAATCTAAATGTTTTTAGGTTACTACCTAAGAGTGACACGTTTTCTGTTGCTTCGACGGAACAGAAAACTGCCCCGCTAATCAATATTGTAAAACAACTTGCGCCATACTTTCATCAGCAACACAGCGTCTGATCAATATCCTAACAGGCTAGCCTTTTAGCACCAAGGACATCACTGATTGATATTGGATTTGTGATGAGTTTAACTGTGTTGTATTAGGATCTAATTGTACTTCAGATCACTAAGCCAATCAAGCAGCAGTTGTGATCATTGGCCTTCCTTTGCTCTTCTCTGAAATTCTTCTCTGGCGTCTGACTTTTGACCTGGGAACTGCGCGCTTTAGCGTCTGCCTTTCAGCATTATATATATACACATCATGTGGTGCATGTTTAAGACACCTTCTATAGGGGTCTCGTTTTAAAAACATGCCAGGTGGAGACTTTAAAAAAAACAATCAGCCAGAGACGGTGTTTTCAACTTAGATGGAGCTAATGATCGCGTAAGAAGCTAGCTAGCGACGGCTGGTGAAAGTCTGCCAGTTGACAGTTGTCATTTCAGCAGACAAAGTGATCAGTTAGAAATGAGAAGCCTGCTTTTATCTGCCGTGGTCTCAGATATCATGGGGTGAGAATCTACCACCGTCAGCTGCGAGCTCATCCTTCAAACGAAGAACAAAATGGATGATTTTCCAAGTGCGCCAGACTGTTTTAAGCACAATCCAATTATCTCATATCATCAGTCTAATAAAACCGAGTGTCTGTTTGGGTCGACCGAATGAGAGTGTTGAGCCGTCTCCTGGTCTCCATCCTGAATGGGAATTTGTCCTTGGTGTAATAATGAACCCCGATGTTCTTATGTCCAGACCCCCCCCCCCACACCACCCTTACTCACTCTGAATTTAATTAAGCATTCATTAGTCTGGCTATTAATTGGCAAAAATTAAGATGAGGTCTGGAGAGGTTGATTGCATTGTACAAGTGAACAGGTGGGGGGAGGGGGAGACATTCTGCAGAAGACGCTTTGAAAAAGAGCATGTCAGAGCTCCGTTTTCATTCTTTCAAATATCATTGTTCTGTTGAGGCTGTACACAGGAAAATAAGTCAAATTGATGGAAATGGTGGTATTCAATTAAAAAAAACCTTGATTAGATATTTGAGAGCCAACAGTGACCCCGTTACTAGTACTTGCACATGTTAGTTCAAAACAACAGATCAAAACAGCATGTTCTCAAATACAGCTGATATTTAATAAACCTTTGCAATAAAAGCCCTCTAACCCGTCTGGAACACATTGAATGGCAAACAACAATGCAACTAAATGGGTTTGATTTTCATATTCTCCTTCAGATTCAACAGTAATAATTAACATTATGACACAATGTTATAGCTGCGGTCTACAGATTTGTATTTAATGTTTGTAAAAAAACACACACATTGTTGTGCAACATGTTTGCCACGTTTCTCCCCTCTCTTCTCTTCTATCAAATAAAAGCAACAAAAACGCAAAAAGGCTGAAAATGTGAACAATGGTCAGTGTGTTTTAAATGTGTTCTGTGCATCAGAAATAATGCGTTATTTATTCAAACATTCCTTCACCGACTAGTTGTACGGACTCACTGATGGGGAAAGTTGAGGTCATTTCTATGTGAGAAGTGTTTTGTTGAACACTCTGAAAACATTCCCTAGGGGAGCGAACGCTGAGAGAAAAAAAGAAAAAACACAACAGCCATATGAAATTGAGATTGATCACTTGATTGATTTTTCTTTTTGCAGCTCAGATTTTTAAACTTTAAATCTGAGGGCCGATGTTAGATTGCCGTACATCTCTACTATTAAACATCAAAGCCGATAGATTTGAGGCTGCTGGGCCACTGCAGGTCAAAATGAGAAATTTTTGCCCTTTTCGAAAAGATAAAAAGCCGGATTGAGGGCCCGGCGGGGTTGTTGCAAAACAAGAAAACAGCTCACGGCTTATTATGGTCTCCGACACAAGAGCTTCAAATCCAACAACATTCATCCTAAATGTCAGATAGCAGTAATGTTATTTATCATGTTGCAGAATTCATTTAAAGCAACAAAGCATACGAGGAGAGCAGGAGCAAAGTCAGGGAACGTTTTTTTTTTTGCTCTGTGTCCGGCACAGGCATCACAAAAACATGTGCTGGGTGGGAATACAATCGTCAAAGGGACCAGAACAATACCAGAGAGATTCTAGGAATGAATACCAAGTTAACTCTGCCAGAGCAAGTACGGCTTGTGCAATGACGGACTGATTTTGTCAGGAATACAAGCTGGAGCCATTCACGGTTGCGATAAGGGTGGACACGCAGCGCATCGCCATGCAGCTTGATTAACTTTGCAAGTGGGTGCACCAGTTATCTGTCTCGTGAATACAGCATTTTGTTCCCTTCATTTGGTTCTATTAAAAGGGTTGAGTGTCACCTCGTCTTTGAGCACATTCTACACCTCAAAGCGGCTCACTTTGTCCTTTTTAAAAAGCTGGCTGGCTGCAGAATTAAAGAAAATCATAACAAAGTGGAAAATAAAACAAAATAAATGCTGGAGCAATCTACACACCCACTGTGATTAATGGACTTCACTTAATGAAGATATCCTGTATAGTAGACTGCAGCTGCACAACGACATGTGATATCGGTGCGGTTGAGTGGTTTTGTGTAGGCGGAAGTACAAAGAACTCATTAGGAATGGGAATAATGTGTATTATTGTGGTAATAAGATAAGTAATAGGGTTGGATTCTCATATAAAATATTCATTAAATGCTACCTTGTATTTTTAGAATACAGTTTTACTCATTAGTGGAACTGCTTCCAAGCTTCCAAGGGTAAGCTGAACCCAACACAGGTGCGCTCAATCATCTCTAACAGAGGAAATGATTAGAGTGTAAATGTTAAACTGAACAAGGGACAATCAAGGTTACCAGGAGCTTAAAGAGCAGGATAATCTTATTCCAGCGATCGATGACTGCTGATTGAGCTGTTCATGAGACTGCAGTCAGAATCAAACTGGAACGACCAGGACCACGTCTCTGGGCTGAGGATGGCTTTACATAAACATAAACAGATGACACATAGTTACTAGTTACTGAAGGATAAACACAATGCTTAAACATGCTGGGGGGAAGAAAAAAAAAAGAGAGAAAAGGTCCTACTTATGGTAGCTGCCGCTGCTCAATAATAGTTTTGAGTGCTTTTAGAGTGCGGGGTAAAACACCGCCGCTCTGCATGACAGTCAGCACATACGTTGTGAGTGTGTGTGTGAATCCGTGTGTCTGTACGAGTGCGTGTGTGAGAGAGAGAGAGGAGGCTGCATTAGATGCCTCCACATGTTTGTGTGTAAAACATCTTCCGCATCGCAGTCGTGTGAAATGTCAGCGCCCCCTCCCTCCCGTTCCCCCCACAGGTAGCTTCAAAGAGGTCAGCGCTCGTCCTCCTCCATGGCATTTACAGCTGTTGTCCTTCCATCCTTTGTCCCCCCACCACCCACCCACCCACCCACCCACACACACACACACTCTCAGGACCAGAGTCTGGTCACCTTGCCTCATCTAAAATTATTCAAATACAACAGCTGCACCTCTGGAACAAGTCCTTTCAACTCCCGCCAAAACATAGAAAGCCTTTATCCTGTTAACAGACAGACAAATTTGTCAAGTGTGTTTCTATAGTAAAAATCCCAAATTACTCAAAACGGCTTCATATAAAGACATTGCTTTTTACATCTACTCACAAACCAGACAGACTGACACAGATTTCACACCAGGAAGCCAATAACAAAAACATTCAGAAGTTCAATCAGTATCAGACATCCACATGTCACTTGGCTGGATCAGCGACTTGTCAGCGACTTGTCATCGCCTCGGCCGTGTCTACGGGCCTCATTTAGACTCGTTTATTCCACGTCCTTGTGTTAAATGTGGGCTTGTGAGCATTAGACGGCTTCCAGCTCAAATCCGTCCCACAAGCTTCGTAAGTGCACGGGGCTTTTCAAAAGGCCTTTGAAATTAACTGGACACAAGGCTCAGTGAAGAGCCAATCAGTTCAGCAAATGGACAAGACAGATGGGGGCCGAATCAGCAATATCTTTCAAACACTCGGTACCGTCTAAACACGTGTTATTAATCGCAAGTTCCTCTGAAACTCTAGAGCTTACGTTACCATAGTGACTGTGGCAGAATGCTGAATGCAACCTAACATATCTGGTAACTTGTACATTGTGCCATCACAAGCCCTAAAATGATTTTCCTTTTTATTTAGATTATTACATCATCAATCAGTTCAGAACAACTGCAGTCACGGTTCTGTTAACAGCTGAATCCTGCATCCAAAGATGAGTGCGCACTTTAAAATGGAGACTAATATTTACTAATGACCCGTCTCACTTGAGACAAACAAAGCACAGAGTCCTTTCGAGGACACACAAATGGATTTACGTGCGATTGTCCTTTGAGCAGCCGATGCTACCAACAGAAGATCTTATTTTCTCTGTAGTTTTTTTTTTTAATTTAAAAGAGTGATTGATTATGTCTGCAGCTGTCAGACACTGATAATAGAGTTTATCAAACAAAAGTGAGCAAAGGATCCAAGCTGGAGGCTGTTCAAAGGATTGTTTTACAGCTGAACCATTTGTATGTTGCTTTAGTTCGAAGAAAATTAAACTCTATTCTGAAAGTCTTACCTTTGGTGTGTTTTTATCAGTACAAATGGCGATTGATTGGAGGTCTGGATCGACATGAAAAGCTTACATTGATTGCAGTACGAGGTGTGCAGACTTAAAAGCAGTTCTCAGTCATTTGACCTTGTAGCTACAAAAAACATTTTCAGACACAAGTTCTTACATAAATGATGCACTGGGGTCCCCATTTCATATATAAAACATATTTAAACAGACCGTAACTTATCCAGTAATAATAATAACTACAATGGACTCTACCCATTTCCATGATAGAGATGTGGACTAGAGAGCCGCCACACAAGGAGCTGTTAAAGACAACGTGCGAAGCCAAGTAGCCATAACAGCACTGAAGAAACCCCCCTCGAGGCTTTTACAGCTTTCAGGAAAAGGTGACCAACACGCAGCTCCTCTTCAGAAGTAGGGCAGCTGAAAAGGCCACGAGGAACCGTGAGGTATCATTTTTCTCAGGTTCATGAAGCCAATGTCGTAGAAACCTTGTGTGTCAAAAGGGTTTAACTGCATAAGTGAGCGAAATTACATATTTTAGGCTGGTTGGATCTCAGGTTGTAGCAACAATGGCTGGTACCAGAATCCCAGAGGATTTTAGGCTGTCGGATGGATTTAGATTCAGAAAGAAAAAGAAATACACGGCGACCACTTTGACTGAACTTTACGCTTGACAGACTCCAGGGACTGCAGAGTATTAATATACAGTAGATGCATACTATATATTCAAATGTGTAATTCATTAATTCACAGATACAAAGTGGTGCGTCATCTGCAAACAAGTCCTTCTTGCGGAATTAAAAAAAAAAAAAAAAAAAAAGTGTTTTATTGCTCCGGTGACAAAACTTTTCTATCACCTGAAATTAAGAGAGGAGTGATTTTTTTTTTGATTTTATTTATTTAACTATTTATCTATTTTCATGCGACAGCTGAAGGGCAGCAACAAACAGATGACGAGAATGCCGAGAGCAGACAGGATAAGTGAGCCGAATTTCAATGACGTGAGCCCATCTGCCTGCATTAATTTTTATTGACTTTAATTCTTTGGATAGGCATGATTTGGAGTCACGGCAGCGATCATTCCTGTTTATTTTCATATATCAATTAGAGGACATAAAACTGGGATCTTACGATTATCAATGTCATCCCCAAAGGGGGAATAAATTGTGGGAGCTTTATTAGAAGACTACAGGTCATAAGGCTGCACCAAATTAAACTTCCTGCTATTGAGTACCAGAGAGAGCCTCTCGGAGAATATAGGGATCAGGTCTGAAGAGATGGAAATGATGGAGACGCTCACCGGGAACCACCCGATGCAGTTCAGGTTCATGGGAGTGAGGTGAATTGATATGCATTCGCTCTCTTCCTCAATTTCCTGCACCATATTCTTCTTACTCTCTTTTTTTATATTTATTTCTCCTGCCAGTCATCTCATCGTTCACCCCTTTTCATGTCCATCTTTTCTCAACTCTCTTTCATACCAACACTGAATATTAATTAGTTCTTTCCCCTTTTCTCCTATAATTCACTGTATCGCTACTTGCTTCCATCAAACATTCTTTACTAGTCAATTTAACTTAAAATACAAAGTTAATCACAATTATCATTTCTTACCGTTAACCATTTTTATTCGAGACAAAATAATGAATCAAAAACTGGGACGCCGAAGCCGTTATTAGACACCGACCTCCTCTGAACAAGTCGTACAGATGTTGATGGGATACTGCTGCCTCGGCTAACATATTGGGCAGCAACTATTTTCCACAGAGTGAACCGGCAGTTATTTAAATATATCCACGGTCGGGAGTATGTCGTGCGTCAACAGAATGAGTTTTATGGACTTACTTCTCTCCGTCTTGACGCCCAGCAGGTCTGTTTGATCTTCCACACCACTGCCGCCACCAAGAGTAGTGATAGAAAACAACTGGAGTGAAAGAGAGGAAACAATGTCAGGCAAGATGAAACAGCTGTCACTGAGAAAGTTCACACATCTCTTCTTTTCCCACAGAGAGCAGACGACCCTCTTGTATTTAAAGCCTTTTTGCTTTTATTGCACGCAACAGTAGGTATTGAATACAAACATGCGACTCCAGAAGAGTTTCATGTTGAAATGTTGCAAGAACTTTACATTATATCCTTCAACAGCTGCATTTAAATGTAAATGTTGTGTACATTCACAGTATTTCCTTGATATATTGAAATTACTACAATATTACTGTACCAGTGTAGACCTAAATACTCAGTTTCCTTTGAACTTAAAAAAGACAAAAATGAGGAGATGAGCAGAATGAGGAGCACGTTCATGAATATGTTGGCCGATTACTTCAACTAATAACCCAACAGTAAAATCATTAGTCAAGGGAAATTCAACAAAGTCCGAGCGCTACCGCGATATCAAAATATGAGTGATCGAGAGCGTCCGCTTCATTATCCCTGTGACAGATGAGAGCGTCAAGATTATTATGTGCTCAAGAGACATTGTGCACTTCCTATGAGCGCCACGTTGCACACTGGCCACTGTGCTTAAGTACAAATAAATGGCCACAACATACAAAAAAAAATAAATAAATAAATTAAAAAAAATCAACAAGTATGTCGCCATTTCCCTCGAATTATTCTCCACTCACTGAATTATCCTTGAATGCGACCCTGTTCCTGATGGCCGAGAACAATGAAGCATATCTGGACTTGAGACCCAGACTGTAATATGAACCAATGAGCCCCTGTGTCTTCGGGGACATGCAACAGTTTTTTGTTTTAAATGGGCAGCCTGGTCCACTAAGCGCATTTCACCAGAGACACTCGACCAGCTCTGATTTCCTGGGCCCACTTCTTTGATATTTTAACTTGAGTGGGCTTTCAAAGTTTGCCGGCCACACCTGCTGGATTCTTTAGGTCGGGATCTTTGAAAGGAGGCGATAACGTCTGTGAGGAATGTGACAAAAAAAAAACAGCCTCTCAAATAAAGCAAAGAGAGGGGGGGGGGGGGGCTGCCAAACTAAAAGAAAAAAAGAAGAAGATGAAGAAGAGAAGTGGGATTAAAGTGTTGAGTGAAGGGAAACTCGGTGCTTCAAACATCTCGCCAATGCACGTAGAGTGTATTTTAAAAAGATGCGAAACCCTTTCATTCTTTTCAAAATACTTGCACCATCCTAGAAACCTTTGAAGATAACAGTGATTGAAAGGGAACGTTGTGGGGGCTTCAATGACATTTACATGCGGTGGAAGTGACAAATATCCCTAGACAGATGTTTGGCTTTCATCGTCACTATTTTAGACAGTAAAGAAGCTTAAATCCTCTTCGCTTCTCCTTCTGCGGCGAATAAAAGGAGTTCTGCAATCATTCATGTTCCAACGCCTCGAGGTAGAAGGCAGCACTCGAGTTTTCAACAAGTAGTTACCGATATGGGATGGGTTGATTTGTAGATCTAGCAACAGCAGGTGTTAACTTTCACTCAGACATAACTTACTTATGAGGGAAGCGGGATATTAGGAAGCCGTCGCACTTTATAGGAATATTTCCTGAGTTTATTGATCTCAAGACAAATCCCACTGTTCTTTAAAAACATCTTGGCCAACATGAGTCAACAGACAAATGTGTCCTATTTGACGGTGACGATTGTGGAACAAAAGAGTGTTGGCATTGGACCGACAGGAAAAGGATAATTACATGCTCAGATCTACAGTTACCACAAGCAATCAATAATATCCATAGCTGCTTCCTACTGGCCTGTGAGGCTGCTAAAACATGATCCCAGTCTTAAAATAACGAATAAATAATTATATCTTGAAGTAAAATTGTGAAACGTAAGCCGAACCTCTTAAAGGCATATAGACATTACATACATTTAACTTTGTTTAGTGTCATTTGACCTATTTTCTATATGACGTTTAGTGATGCGGGAATAACAAGCGCATGCCTCACATTCTACTGCCTGCATATATATGGTGTAACCACAGAGCAACACTAATGTGCATGTGTACACACTTAAATATGCTGTACATAAACATACAGATGTGACTGGAATGACTCTGGTTCATTAGTATAAATTAGACCCCGGGGCTCCTCTGCAAGTACAGTGCAGCATCCACTTAGCAACATTTCTACAGCATCTAATCAGACCGCATTAAAACAGTCAGACTCTAATTAGATTACAATTTAGGCATATAATTTTAGGCATATATTTTTGCCAGGAAATATTGTTCGTGAAGTCACGAAGACGAAGAAGCAATGAGGAAAAGGTGAGAAAAGATACTTCTGAGTGGCTCGCAGTGAAAAAAAGGTGAGGCGATATTTGAATTTTAAAAAAAGGAGAAAACAACAGAAGGAGGAAATAGCGCTCGTTCCCAGTCGTGCCGTCATTTCTTCACCCTGTATCTCTCATACAAGGAGGTCTAGAAACCCTGTGGGGTGAGATGACATTTTTGTCATCAGGCTGATTAAGTTTCCCGCAGGTTCGTCCCCTCCAAACCTCCCACACACACACACACACACGCACACACACACACACACACACACACACACACGCACGCACACGCACACACACGCACGCACACGCACACACACACACACACACACACACACACACACACACACACACACACACACACACACACA